CACACATATATACACACACACATACATTCCCATGATGTTTCTCTCATGTTTCTGGAAACCCCCTTTTGGGAACAAAAGCGCCTGCCTCTGAGGCGGCCTGAGCTGCACTGAGTCCGGACTCCGTGGAGCCTACGGGTTGTGACTATCGGGGTGAAGAGACGATGATGGAAACCGCTTCCCTAGACCCTCCAGGGTTTAGGGCTTAGGGTTTCGGATATAGAGCTTTGAGTTTGGGGTTTAAGGCGGGTTTAGGGTTTAGGGCTTAGGATATAGAGCTTAGGATTTAGGGCGGATGTCGTCCAAGTACCTTAATTAGGATTATGGGGCCCTAGTGGTGGGTATTGAGGCCGCAATAGAGGGTAGTTGGAGGCTAGGCCTCTCCCTTCGAGGGATTGCAATTGTCATGCCATTGCTTGGGTCCTTCTATATAACCCTAGTATACTGTAGTAGTTTCCATTTTACTTTTCACTACCCCTATATAACCCCAATATACCATAGTAGTTTCCATTTTATTTTCCCTTATCCCTATATATCCCTAAATCATGATAAAATCAATGGAGCTCTACAATCTCCAGGATCGCTTGGTCGCTTAGGGCTCAAGCTTGGGATCCACAGCTGATAGCCTAAAACATTCAAAGATCTCTGAAACAAATCCCATATTGCTTCCTTACTGCGTGCGCATTTGAGCAGCTCTATTTTTGAATACTCTATGTGGCCTGGATGGTATGGGAAGGGGTCTGCGCTGGTCTGCGCTTGTTGCTATTGCTCTTCAATGGTCTGTTCTGGTCTATTGATGCAGCTCTTTCCTCCTACAAGGATCTGAACCGGTGGCGTTGCCATTCTTCGTCATTAACATCATCACTTGTCGCATTCGGTGTGATCGCATCTTTGTTCTCGTATTGTCGCTGCTGGCCACTTTAGCAGAGCCCACAGCATCTTACCTGTAGATTCTTGCTGAATATCTGCACACACACTCTAGTCTCCTTGCAATGCTGTGAGACCTTCAATTCTGCAACTTTACGTGCTGCCATTTGCAAAGTCCATGAAGCGCTGAAGAAAGATTGTCCCCTCTCTCCTGCAAATTAGGTCCGCGAAATAACTTCTTCAGGTGGCTTATCTCAAAAAACTAATGTATTGGGCTCTCCCCACAAGTAGAAACTGCCTCATACCCCCCGGCGTTTGGAATCCCATTGCGATCCGACAAGGGGTCATGTGGGTCAGGGCCCTTGTTGGGCTCACAGTATGTTGGCTGACGGAGCACTGCACTGACTTGGCCAAGGCGCAAACGCCTGCCTGTGCATGAAGTACTCAGTATGAAGGGAGCAGGGAATGGATTTCAGCCAGTTCCCCATAATCCCCACAACCGTCAAGCCCCCAAACCTCTTAATTTTTGGGGCCGGAGCAATCTTAGTATACACGGGAACAAGATTAACATAAATTCCACACCCTGGCCCGTCAAGCCTTGTGACTCCCAGGCGGGATCACGGACCTTGTCCAAGATGCCCCCCACGTAGCTTTCCATGGCGCGGCCGGGAGCCAGATCCATGGGTCCTAGGACTCGGAAATAGCAAAATCCTGCCCCAAAACCGAATGCGGTAAGGCACAATAGTCTTGCCTGAGCCTGCCAGATTGTGAACGAAGTTGCTTGCAAGACGATACCTTTTCGAAAACAATTCAGGGATAGCGACAGTTGGGCCTCATGACGCGTGGGAGGCTGGTGACCTAATAGAACAGCCACGTTCGCGTCTTGGATGACCCTGTTCTTTTGAATGCTCTTGTCACAGCTGCTCATCAAAATCGGAGTCTGCTTGTGAATCTCAAAACTGCAAGATGTTTGGAACCCATGCCGCAAAAGGTGCATAAACTTCTGGCATCCGCATGCAAATCAGTGGTAGGAAACTGTAAAGCCTACGCGTTGCTTTGCACTCCCTTTGTCTGGCTTGTTGTCCGAAACTTTTCCAGGAGGAAGCTCGTACCGCCGTCCTCCTTGAACCTCGGACCCTGCGGAGTCACATTATGCCGAGGTGAGATGAATGTTTCCCAAAATTAGGGGTACCTTTTTGGGGGTCCCATGATAAGGGTTAAAATTGTGGCGGGCCGATATTAGGGTCCCCCTATTCAAGGAACCTACCGCACGTCGGTCACAAAACAAAGTGCCTCCTTTCTCAACCTCGAAGTGTAGGGTGCTGCAAAGCCCCACCAGAAGATCCACATTTGAGAGCACCACCTATTGATATTGATGAAATAAAAATATTCTTTTTAAGGCTTTCAAACTTTTAGGAGGGAACATTTCGTACTTGTTGGGTAATACAAAGCCAGTTGAGCCCTAGTCTAAACTCCTAGTGTCCACCTTAATAAGCCCTATGATAGTCCCTAATGTAATCCCCTATATACGCCCCCTTTAAAAGAATGTAGACTACTTGGATGATCGCTTGACTTAGTAACTCTACCTACTATCCCCAATAGCCCCTATCATGATCCCTAAAACCCAAGTTACTAAGTAGACTGACGAAGTCAAGAGATCCTCCAAGTACATTTTTCCAATTCGCATCACAACTAGAGAGCGAAAATATCTAGGCATGCTCCCATCATTTTGATCCCCAAGACATGGTAGTCGATCAATGGGTTTAGGGTTTAGGGCATCTAAACCACCAGAAGTATGTAGGATAACTGTAATTTTGGTTGTTTTTAGTGGTTTCGGGCCATGCTTTCAACTACTTTGGGGGTCCAGGTATTCCTGTTTCTAAAATGATCATTATGGAAAACAATGTCCGCTATACTTGTCTTCTAGAACTAGGGGATCCTGGAGGAATTTTCGAAATGGGAGTTGCTTCCCCCATGTCCTACCACTCACCGACATTGTGACACTCGAAATCCTACACATTCCCCATGAATGTAAGCCCCAGAGCTAGCCTAGAGAAACCTCCAAACAGGGCATCCCAACTGATGCAAAGAGCTCGACGCAGCTCTTATTGCTACATCATCCTCGGCTGGCACCCTTCCCTGCGGACTTCCTACAGCATCCTGCACAAATCTGCCACATCAAGATATAGTCCCCTTAAGTAGATAGAATATGGGGTATATGGGGATCCTATTATAATATACCCCAAAGCCATATTCTATCTACTTAAGTCCTAGGGACTCCCAGGACCCCCAC